TTCTAGCACGAATAGTGTGGCTAGCAGAAGCAGGGCAGTGATCATGCCCCTGTACTTAGCACTGGTGAGGCTGCACCTTGAGTGCTGTGTTCTGTTTTGGGCCCCTCACTACAAGAAAGACATTGAGTTGTTGGAGCATGTCCGGAGAAGGGCAAGGAAGCTGGTGAAGGGGCTAGAGAACAGTCTTATGAGGAGAGCCTGAGGGAGCTGGGGTTGTTTAGTCTGGAGAAGAGGAGGCTGAGGGGAGACCTTATCACTCTCTACAACTACTTGAAGGGAGGTTGTAGTCAGGCAAGTGTTGGTCTCTTCTCCCAGGTAACTAGCGATAGGACGAGAGGAAATGACCTCAAGTTGCATCAGGGGAGGTTCAGACTGGTTATTAGGAAAAATTTCTTTACTGAAAGAGTGGTCAGGCATTGGAACAGGCTGCCCAGGGGAGTAGTGGAGTCACCATCCCTGGAGATGTTCAGAAAACACGTAGATAAGGCACTTGAGGACATGGTTTAGCAGGCATGGTGGTGTTGGGTTGATTTTTGGACTTGATGATCTTAGACGTCTTTTCCAACCTTAATGATTCTATGATTACTTACCACTATTAAACAGATGTGCATAGAATACCCATATTGCTAACCTGTCACCTTGCCATCCTGTCACCTTCCTATTTTATGTTGAAGTAGGTCTTTGTAATTAATTCCAGTCTTTAACTGTAGAATACCCTGACTGTTACTTGTAATAAAGATGTTTGTCATTTACAATACAAAGGCAACAGTGAATTTAGGCTTGGTTCAGGGCCAAACTCAGATGTAAAAAGTAAGTTAGTCTCCTAAAAATTATATATTCTTCATCCTACTTGAAATTGCTTGTCTAATTGGCAAAGGAAACCATCAGGAGTTTATGTTGCCTTACTCCAATTTACTTTTGTGTATGGTCATATTTTCTGATGTCTTGATTTTTTACTTAAATCCAGTTCACTCAAGATGGTCTAAGAATACTAGAAAGCAAAATCTGCACAGAGAAATATCTTGCTTTAGATCAACTACAATTTGAATAGACTGAAGAAAGCTGAAGAAGTGTCTGTGTGTCTGAAACTTGCCCAGTTTTTGTAGCAATAGATCTAATGAATAATATCCCACTGCTTCCAAATCTTTCCTCTCAGTTAAATTCATCTCTGGATTTAGTTTGCAGCTTGTTCATTAGTCAAACAGATACTTCTCAACATCACTAACATCACACACACTTCTGATAAGGATCTCAGAGCAGCAATTCACTAGTGATGGGGCAAAATCTAAATACATTGACGAATCAGCTTGGCTAATGGTACACTGGGCCTGCTATGGCTTGCTACTTGACTCAGGCCAGTGTTATAAATCTCTTGCTTTCAT